ATTATGAAAAATATATTTTTTAGGGTTGCTCTTCTACATGTAACGTAGGGATTGAATTTCACCTCCCCCCGTCCCCACCACTCTAAAAGCTTAACTATTAGCTTGAAAAATCTGAGAAAACATGATAATAGTGCTTTTCATAAAATTTAAATGAATATTATAACGGTTTAGATGGATCCGTAACTGTTAGTTTAAGAGGAATAGTCGCTCAGCTTATGTATTAGAAAATTTCTTACTTTAAAAAGTCTTTACAAGAAAACTTTAAAAGTGACTAATTACTTTCAATAAAGACTCATTCTTGAATACATATATTGTGTTAACGACAGGTAACTACGAAACCCTACACTGCGCGTGGCACGACACTCACTTGGCCGGTATTTTCAACTTTTTTAGAGTAGTATTAGGTCCGTATTATTGAAAGATTCTCAGTGACTTATCTAGTCTTGAGCATAGTTTAGAAAGGGATGTCGCTATATATAGCACATAGCGACATCCCTTTCTAACTGTACTCAAGTGAAGATCGACACATAGTTGTCATTCTGTAATACGCACCTTAGCCTAACTTATGTGATTATAGTTGTGGCTCTAGAGTCACAGAGTAGAGATGCAGCCTTTACTTCTAGAAGTAAAGGCTGCATCCTGCATCGGATATAATAATGTAGGAATATAGGGGCATGCCAAAGAAAAGAACTCAATATCCCCTTCTCACCTAAGACGGTGAATCAGGTCCGAATCTCGTTACTTATACCAAACCATTATCGAATTCGATCTCGATACGCGTCGTATGTCCAGAAGTTTTCTATGCAGAAGTTAAACAACTCCGACGACCTCCGAGTAGTTTGTACGCCGGGTTCCATGGTGTCGCCGACTCGAGAAGTCGCGAATCCCGAATCCCAGTGGGAGCAGATGTTTGTGTGATGAATACAAGCATTTGTGCTCCAGTCATGGATGTTTATTAGGTACTAGCTGTGCCCCGTGGTTGTTACCCGCGGTTTATTAGGAATATTTTCCCGCAGTAAAACGTAGCCGATGTGTTAATCCAGGGTGTCAGCTAACTCCATACCAATTTTGATTAAAATCGCTGTAGCCATTTAGACGTGAAGAAGTAACAAACATACACACTCACACACTCACAAACTTTCGCCTTTATAATATTAGTGTGATTTCTGTATAAATATTACTTATTTATTATTATGTATTCTATCCATTACCCTGTATATGTATTCTTTCCGTTACCCTAGTATCCCATAACAGAAGCCTTATAGTGCTTACTTTGGGGTTAGGCTAATTGGTGTGAGTTTTAGAAATATTTATTTATTTATTTAACTTTCGCAATGGTCGGTAATTGGATGAGTGACCAATAACTTATCATCTCGAGCTCTTCCGTGCTTTATAAGGCACATTAAGGCCATTAAGCCGTTGGTCCCGGCTGCATCTGCAGTTATTAGAATACACCAATCCGTACTGAGCCCGCGTGGTGGGTCACAGCCCAATCTTTCTATTCCACCCATAAAGAAGACTATGCCCCAGCAGTGGGGGGACATTAATAGGCTGACGATGATGACGATGAAGTGTTTCATTGAAATTCATTTTATAAATAAAAGGAGTATTCCCGGCAATAATTAAGAAACAATTAGTTTGCCCACTCTGACTTTGTTTAATTATATAATTACTGCATAATTGCTTCGTTCAAGTACAAACCTAAGACAAGATGGACATAGGACATTATGATTTCGCTTTTTTTTATAATCTATAATAAAATCGTACTTAAACGATTCATGTAACTGTTGCAAAAAGAGGTGTATTAAAACACGAATATGGGGATATATTATAATTGATAAAAGTATCATACGAGTGTTTCAATACTTAATAATTATTAAAAGTCGCATACCATACTTTATCTATAACCATGATATGATACATCACGTGTACGCCGATGGCCAAGTGATTGCTGCGCAAACACTATATTATATGTAAGCAAATAATTAGTCACGCATGCTCGTGAACTTGGTAAAGTAACCAGATCACTTTGTGGGTAGAGACGACATCGCTTAGGAATGAATCCTCAACGTTCTTTTGAATAGGAACTTTATGCAAAATAGCAATGCATTTCTGAGAGGTTTTTAAGTGTGCTGTAACGATGCTTCCTCAGCCGTTATGCAAAGGGCTGTCTTAAAGTGCCTCTTAAGTAGAGACGTAAAAAATTATAAAGAGAGAAAAATAGTTTTGTATACATTTTAAGAAATTCTGTTCGATCTGTGTGGACGATTTAATAGCTGTTATTTTTGCAAGTGTTGTATGATGAGGTAATAAACACTAAAGTGGTACTCAAACCCACATTCGTGTTTTAATACCTTATTATTTATAAACAGTTGCATACAAGACTTTATCTACACCAATGATATGAATCCGCTATATATATATATATATATATATATATATATATATATATATATATATATATTTGGAGAGATATTAGGATAGATAGATCATCTATATATATAATTTACCCTTTGATATTTTCAAAAGCACGAAATTTTGGTATGATTTTGCATATTGTTTTCTAGAATTTTCTGGTAGTCATTGGCTGGAATTTGTCTTGTTGCATTTGAAATATCTGGTGGTGTCTTACCAAAACTTGAATCAGTCATTATTATTAACAAATGAATATTTTTTGCAAATCTTATATCAACCAACTAACTTTATTATATTTTTATTTTTTAAGAACCAGTGTTTAAATCAAAAAGAAAATAAAAATAAATAAATAAATATTTCCAACACTCACACCAATTAGCCTAGCCCCAAAGTAAGCACTGTAAGGCTTGTGTTATTGGATGCTAGGGTAACGGATAGAATACGTATACTGTACATATATAAGTATATTTATATAGAAATACATATAAAACATCCATGACTGGAGTACAAATGCTCGTATTCATCACACAAACATCTGCCCCCACCGGGATTCGAACCCGGGACCTCTCGAGTCGGCGACACCATGAAACCCGGCGTACAAACCACTCGGCCATGGAGGTCGTCGATTCTTCAGATTTAAGCATAACAAGCATAACGATAAAATATACAAAGAAAAATTTTGTTACTTAAAACAATTTTCTCCCCTAAAACAAACTCTGAAGCCTGATAGTACCGTTAATTATAGTACACTGCCTGCAAGTCTACCTTGACCTTGTTAAAAATAAAGGCAAAACCGGCCAAGTGCGTGACATGCCACGCGCAGTGTAGGGTTCCGTAGATATTTTAATGTGGTTTTTAAATAGTTTTTTTTTATTTATTTTGTTTTTAAATACAAAGTTTTACGCATTATAAACAAGCACTTACTTCATCTAAGTCCCTTATAATGTTTTCTTCGAAGGAATTTTATATTAGGTAATGTAGCCCTAATCTTTTGTTAAACTGCAAAAAAATAATAAATTTATTATGCAGTTATAAAAATACAGTACATAAATGGGGTGAAAACATTATGTGTGAACATAGTGTTTCAATGTCCGGTCTTATCGCTAAAAGCAATTTTTTCAGACAACCTTTGGATGGAAAGGATTGAATTTAGGAGGAGAAGACACTATTAATAAGTCGAGAAGTGAGGGAGTAGTTTTAGCGAAATGATGGGTAGCGTAAAGTATAAGAATGTGTAAATTTGATGAACTGACAACGGATTGAAGGGAGGTGGCACGAAAATCATCTTTCAGGAGACATGTGTTGAAGTCACCCATGATCAGGGAATGGCCTTAAGACGGGACGATATCTTCTTAAAGCTGTTCAAAAGAACTGAAAAAAATAACATTTAAGGAAGGACTATAATAGACTGCGAGGAGGATTTTGATGTGGAAAAAAGGAACCTAGACGAAAAAATGTTCACCAGCATTAGTTGGCGGAGGCTGTGTGGAGAAGCTAATAACATTGAAGGGAATACCAATACGCAGGTAAATAACAACTTCACCGCTTCGACAGCCAGTGCGGTTGTTACATATTAACTGGAAACTAGGTAAAGAATATGCAGTGGAAGGTAAAGAAGTTTTAAGCTAGGACTCGGAGTCGAAAACAGCATAAAGATTTTTAACGTCAATATACGCCAACATATCGGCGTTTTGAGCCGGAATACTTTGCGCGTTGATATGAACCACGTCTAAAAATTTAGGTACATCAGAAAACTGATTACCAAGGTATTCAGAAAGAGAAGGTATACTTATAAAACTACTGTCAGTGCTGCCGCCAGCAGGTGATAAAGATTGGAAAGAATCGTTTTTGCTATTTATTTCCGAACCAGACATAAAATTCAAACTTACATTCTGTTATAAATATATTTATAAGTAATCGTATTATTTTCCTTAAAAGCTCATGAAAAGCACCATTATCATACTTTTTCAGAATTTTCAAGCTAATAGTTTAGCTTCAACAGGGGGACGCCCTACTCGAACAAAAATTATCACTTTAAAGATTAATATTTCACAGACGGATCCCTAAATTGAAAAATAGTCTTTGAAGTCCTCTTTTTTATTATATTTGATATTAAATAATATTTTGCAATTTAATTCTACTAATATTAGTAACTTTGTACGTTTGTTACTCAATCACGCAAAAACTGCTGAACGGATTTGTATGAAATTTGGTACCCACGCATATAATTTACGACTTGGTTTGAGACATAGGATACTTTTTATCCCAGTTCAAATTTCTGGGTTCCATAAAAAACTAAACAATAATCAAATATTTATATAAAATTAATAAATTTATAAATAAACGGCCGCTAGTTCAATAAATAAATAAATTTCAACTGTTTATTTCAATATAATATACCTACCTACTGAATATAATAACTTGTACACTTATTTGTGCAATAAAGTATAAATAAAAATAATAAGTACAGTTTTTTTTGTGTATAGAATCTATGCGAATGACGTCACTGTGTTCATGACTAAATATATTTTGAATTTACTATAAAATTGTCCTGTTCAGGTTAACATTGACATTTGATTTACTGCATAAGATTTAGGCATCGTCCGACTATCTTCGTGACGTCACATACGTAATGTTTGTGAGATATATCACGTAAAGCCTTGGTCAGCCTGTTTTTCCTAATAGGTACCGGATCAACAATCATCAACGTGTAGTGTTGTGTGTTTGACGTGCTTAGTACCGTTTCTTAAATTGGTGAGTACGTAACAATTTCTATTTAACTATTAAAATAAATTTTATTTATGATTAAGGTGAGAATGTAAGTTTGCTTGAATTTGTTGTTAGCGATTAAGAAATGTATCGTCATTTGTTTGGAACAATTCAAAGCTGATTATTTTCTGTACTTATTTTAAAAATGTTACTGAATCAGTTCACGTTTTTGTTTTGAATTTTCAATTATATAATCAGTTGTTGTCTTTAATTACGGTAATTGAGAAAACTATGGAAAGAAAAATATTTATTCCCATTCAATATAAACATAATATCTCGAACCTAATTTACTAAATATCGTCAGGCAATAGCTGTTGATAAACTATTTAAAGAAAATAACAATTTAAGTAGAAAATGTTACTAGAAAAAATTTCACGCGGACCAGGCGCAGACGGGACTCGAACCCGCAGCCTACGCTACCCGCGCGGATACACTGACCATTATGGCGGCCTTGATGGCCGTGTCGAATTTTCTCTAGTACTTCTTAGGCTGCAAGACAGCGCCATCTTTTCGCATTGTAGGTAACCCACATTATCAAAATTCCCTATACAAGTATTAAACATTTGAAAGAAAAAATAGCAATTATATATTTTTTTTGCATTTAACTGCTAGATGTTTAAAATCTAAATCGTTTTCTGGTAACATTTTCTTCAGATTTGAAAGCTCAAGCAGAAAAAGAAAATATGTAAACAATTTCAGTGTTAGAAATTGGTCATTGGTTATTGAAAACCATCAGATTGTTCGAAGTTGTATTGCATTTACATTGGGGATTGCGGATATTCCGGTCGAATTGGAGCGTCCCTTTCATAAAGTAACCTCAACCTTGCTGAAATCACAGTGCAATAATTGTAGTGGTGTTGTGTTTCTCTTGACAAGTAGTCTAGTCTAGGAAGGCAATGCCATGAGCAGGGCCGGATTTAGAGTCCTCCTGGTTGGTAACCTGTCGTAATCTAGTTATTTTTTTATCTCTCTTGTGGCCTACAATCTCCCTCTATCATGTCAGACGTACGACTCCCACTGCTGAGCATAGACCTCCCCCAAGGATCGCCACACCGATCGGTCCTGCTCCACTCGTATCCATCGGCTTCCCGCGACCTTCACAAGATCGTCGGTCCACCTCGTAGTGGCCTGCCCACTGAGCGTCGTCCGTTGCGTGGCCGCCATTCAAGAATCTTTCCGCCCCAATCAATGGCAATCGGTTCTTCTTGCTACGTATCCCACCCGCTGCCACTACAGCAAAGCAACCCTTCGAGCAATTACGATTACTTTGATTCTCGTACGAATTCCCTCATTTCTGATTCTATCGCGTAGGGAAGTACCGAGCATAGCTCTCACCATTGCTATCCCACATGCCCTGCCTTAAATCTGGCCCTGAGCGTGAGTGATACTCTGGTATCTCGAGCGTCTATAGGCTACTAGTAGCTGCCCGCGACTTTGTCTGCATGGAAATACCTATTGGTTTCCCATACAAACTTAAAACCCCTTCAAGGTTAATTTTTTGGATAACAACTATCTTATGTCCTTTCCCAGAACTAAAACTATCGCTTTACCAAATTTCATCTAAATAAGTTTAGCTGTTTAAACGTGAAGGGGTAACAGACGACAGAAGTATGGACGGCGGCTGCTTACTATCAGACGGAGTAAACAGTAAATGCTCGTTTGCCTCACGTTTTTAATAAAAAAAAACGTCGATTTACTTGGAAGAATAGGTAACTTAGAGTGGTGTTTTGTTGTAATAAAACGAAATATTTAAAACCATATATGGTGTTTTATTAAGTAAAGTTTCTTGCATTAATTGCAGCGTAGTGCCTTATAGACTAGAGACCAAAGACAGAGAGCGAGAGCATAGATTAAATAGACCGAATTTACGTTTTTTTATAGAACATACAATTTTATAGCATTAGATAGGTACTTCAACATGTTTACTGTAAATAAGTATATACTTCATAACCCGTTTAGATTTGACACGAAATCTTAATGAAGGTTGACTAACTGATTAGTATGTAACATTTACAAATAAAACCAGCTTAACTGAGATTTATCTAAGATGGAAGCTTGATTATCGTTATTACGTATTTCGTAACTTACTAGTTTATGAGTTTCGATAGCGTATACTTTGAAGGTCCTTGCAATACTGACCAGTAAAATGTTTGCATATTTTTATAATCACACTAATATTATAAAGGCGAAAGTTTGTGAGTGTGTATGTTTGTTACTTCTTCACGTCTAAACGGCTGGAGCATTTTAATAAAATTTGGTATGGAGTTAGCTGACACCCTGGATTAACACATAGGCTACGTTTTACTGCGGGAAAATATCTTTAATAAACCGCTGGGCACAGTTAGTTTAATCTATATCCATGCTTTAAAACTTCTATTAATTTTTTTTTGTGGATACTCTACAATGTGAAGAGATGGCGCTGCCTTGCAGCTTAAGAAGGGCTAGAGAAAATTCGACACGGCCATTAGGGCCGCGGTAGCATAATGGTCAGTGCATTCGCCCGGGTGGCGAAGGGTGCGGGTTCGCGTCCCATCTGCTACCCGGTCCAGGTGGAGTTTTGAAGTGAAAACTTCTTTAGCGGCGTTATACACTTTTTTTTGTATGAGTAAAAAATGTTAAACTCCCGTCAGGACACGTGGACATGTGACCTAATCGAAAATTCGTAAGACGAAAACATAAAAATAAATAAAATGGAAAGGTTGTCGACTTTCAATATATTGGACGAAACATAATAATATTTTATTTTATCGTATTATAATAATAAGGCTCTATCTACGACGTCCAGGTGGCAGCTTTATTTCGAAGAAAATGCATGTTTTTTACAATAGATGTCGCTAGGTGCGCTTAAATATGATCCATATTCGTAATAAGCTTTTTCTGAGAGATAAACTTTTTAATGTAATATAAATTGTCATGTTTGTGTACGATATCGCAATAAATAAATATTGTATTCTACTCAATCCGATAAAACACAATAATATAATGTTGTACTAAATTTTATAATAGCACTCCTTCGTTTTTCCGATCCCTTTCGGGCAAAGAGTTATTTAACAGTTAAACAGTCACAATTTTCACTGCTCGATACATGGTATCTGTATGAATTTAAAAAAATACAACATTACATACTGTTGAAACTTGTTTTATTTAATGAGTGGTGTGCGTGAAATCATCAAAAGAAACAAATATTCTACTAATTATTACGTAATCGAACAAATCAAGGGTTAACCGGACCTAAAAAAAGACGTCACAAGTTAGATTGTAAGTTTTAACTTTGGTAATTATGTTGCTTTATATAAGATTCACAGTCGATTAAAAAATCTCAATTTATAATCACTTGATGTGCTGCGTACAGTAGTAGATTAACCTTATAAATAATTCATCACATATTTAACCGAGGAATCATTTTTTATAGGTACTTAAGTCATTGCGTTAAGTATTACCTTTTACTTTAAAGTTATAAACGCAATCATTTAAGAAGTAGACGTTAGTTATTAAGAAAAAGGCTGCTCTCGTAGGAATAGTTTATATCCATACTTACTTATATGCAAACTCTTTGGCTGTAGCTAAATTAATTATTTAAAAAAATATGAATAAACGTCATTTTAAGTGAGACATAATAAAATGATTGTTTTTTTTTTATTTTTTTTAAATATAACAGCAGCATTATTCACACAGTTTTACTTTTAATTTTTAGTACGGGTTAATAGTATAGTGCCATACATGATAGTGCTACAACCAAAAAAAAAAGTTTTACTAGAAATAATCCACGCGGACCAGGCAGCGGACGGACCCGAACCCGCACCCTTTGCAATCCGGGCGAATGCACTGACCAATTATACTACCACGGCCCTGACGGCCGCGTCGAATCTTTCACAGCCATAAGCTGCAAGGCAGCGACATCTCTTGTCATTGTAGGTAACCCACAATGTCAAATGAATACTTTTTCAAGTATTAAACATTTGAAAGAAGAAATAGCTTTATATTATGTTTTTATTTTTTTAAGCATTTAATTGCTAGATGTTTATAACTAAAGAAAAGTTTTACTAGAAAAAAAAAGTCCCGTCCGCTGCCTGGTCAGCGTGGATTTTTTTCTAGTAAAACTTTTCTTTAGATTTCAACATCTAGCAGTTAAATGCTTAAAAAAAACATAAGTGCTAATCAATTTGATGGGCCTTTTAAACTTGTGCGTAGGACAACCAGAAATTTAAGTTTACAATTACGAATTTTAATAGACGATATAAATATATACATATTTTATGAGTTATTCAAAAGTATTATGCTTTCTATTTAAATAAAGAAATGTTGACTTTGACTTTTGATTGTATTCCCAATATAGTTATTGCATCTAATAACTTGTAAAACTGTCTGAAATATTTTAGAGGTGACTTTAATTTTTGTTTGCTTTTAGTACTTTTGAATAATTAGGTAGGTATTTATAAGTGCAGTCTCGCAATCTCACCTCGATTGTAAAATCGGTTCGAATCTGCGACTTAAAAGTATTCGTGAAACAATTTTTATATAATAGAAATGCGTTGCGAGCGTCACACGACTATGTGTTTTTTTGACATTTCTAAAGATTTATTGAACCAGTTTTTTTGTTGCATGTTGTTGTTAACAGTTTTGCATGAGTTTACTAAACATATTGCAGGGAACCCATATCAAAATAGTACTGCTGGAAACTCAGATATCGAAGTCTCTCCTTCGTGGTCTAAATCACGAACGTTTATCAATGAACAGTTTATTGAAGACTAGGTACATGCTATTCATTATAAAATTAGTAAAGTCCCCCTTCTATTATTTATATAAATAGTGACTTATTAGAAATAATTGCTGTGCATAACTGCGCTTCGGCCTTCAAAGTGCAGGAAGTTAAGGAAATTGGACCTAACATTATTATCTCGCTACGTCAGTGATACACTTTTAGTTTCCTCATTTTGTGTTCTTGTGATATTATTTTTAATGTCCATTGTTCCTTTTTTACATTT